GATAGATAGATAGATAGATAGATAGATAGATAGATAGATAGATAGATAGATAGATAGATAGATATGGAAGCTACATGGCTAGATATAGTTGTAACAAGGAATGAAACTACTGACCAGTAGTCCAAATGCTTTCAAGAAAACATCCTAATATATTTTGCAGCAGAAGGCCAAGTATTAAAGTTCCCATTTCCCCATGTTAATGTCTAGATGTTTTAAATCTACTTTGGCCCTCTATTATAACACCTATTTGTACACATAACATTTATCTATCATAGCAAATACTGTTTGAATATTGTGTATATGCATTTGCTCTTATAAGGGGCTACTGTAATGTATTAAATGTCAATTCTTAATTTATTTGTCCATTTTTCCTTTATCTCAAGACCTTCTGAAAGCAAGAATTATTAAAATACTATTTGAGTTTAATTACTGAATCAACATAAGATCAAGTCAGAGTTTTTCTTGTGTTGAGGACATTTAGATTTCACCAGGTCTTAGGCATTTGCCTGTATTCATTATGATTGGAACCTAAGTGACATTTAAAAAAAACGTATTTAAACATAGCTTATGATATTAGTGAAATTATGATATTAGTGAGCAGATCAAAACATTATGAAAAAAAAATTCATTCTGAAATAATAAAATTGGTATAGTCTAATCAATTTATCCATTTTAACAGAATATCTAACAAATATTTAAATATTTGTAACTGAAAGAAAGAGGCCCTAAAAGTGTTATAAATTGGCTGGTTTTGTCTGCTGCATATGAAACTGCTCAAACCGAACTAAATGTACTTTTGAATTGATCTTGTGCAGCTTCTGTCTGGATGCTGGATTCTTAAATATTCAATATTTTTATTAGGTATATATATATGGAAATACATGTGAGTGTATGCATATGTAAACAAACAAACAAGCACAATTTTTTATCTTTCCCCCATTTTTTTCAGATGCCACCATCATCAACACTGCTTGATGTAAAACATAAGTTTCACAAAATATGTAAGCATTTAATTTTTTATTTAGTCATCAAATTTAGAGACCTTACTTTAAATTAAATTATTATCTTACTATGTGTTTGGACCAAATTCATCAGGGTTCAGAGCAAGCTATATAGGTAGAATATTTGCAGATTGAGCATGCTTCAGAAAGTGCTAGTGTAAAGATATTGTGGTATTTTATTTACTTTCGGTGGTGGTGGAATTGCACACTTTTAATTATATGGTAAAGATGAGTTAATCAGTAGTGTTGAAAATAAACTATGTGAAACTGCTCTTCTAATATTGTGGCTAATATAACACTTGAATTCTAAATGCACTTACCTCTCCAAATATGGTTTCTAGCTGGATATATTTCTTTCTGTTAATAAGCTCCCTCCAAAATAATGTTGCAGTATGGAGAACTCTTGGTTTGCCCGTTACCTTTAATTCTTTCATACTTATCTACTTCTATTTCTTCTTCCCTTCTTTTCTATCTGGTTCCTGATTAAATTGTTTACATTCCATGTCCATGATCATTCCCTTTCTGCTTAGACTACTGAGGGTACAACATTGGAAATTATGATTATCAGCAGAGACTGAAGAATTCAATGATATAAGATTGCAGAGTTAAAGTGTTAATTCCTCCCTTCACTAACACGTCATGCATGTTATTAGTGCAGCATGTCCCTGTTACCTGAAATGAAGCTCTTGTCAGAGGTAAAAAAAGCAAGAGTCAAACTATTTTTTTTCATAAAACATGAATTTTATTTTTAATATTTCCTGAACTGATATATGGACACTTTGCTTGATCTATACGTTTGTCGCCATATTGTGGGATGCTGATAATCCCTTTTTTAAAAAAGGATATTGTAGAAGGTATAATTCAGTGTATAGGTGCAGGAGATTTCTTCCTACATTGACCATAAACTGACACTTACAGTTTTACTCAGTCTCAGTTTTATTAATCCTTTCTGGTATGGGCCCAATTATTTTTTTAATAAGCTTTAGGACAGATATGACATTTGTGTCAACAAATTAAAAGTTAGTTGATTAACAGTCTTCCCTTAGACCAGTGTTTTTAAACTTGGCAATGGTTGCCTAGGAAATTCTGAAAATTGAAGGCCACACATCTTAAGTTTGTCAAATTTGAGAAATGCTGCCTTAGACAAATGAACTGAATAATTTTCCGGTTTGCTTTAAATGTTGTATAATTTGTTTGTGAGATCTTACAGAAAAGGCAATTTTGGATAGCACGGAGTTCAGAGTCCAGGCCATCCAACTCCCAAAGCTCTATCTTTAATCATTGACCGTTCCAGAGGAAGATTTTGGGTTGGAAAGGGCTTCTTCCTAAAAATTATTGCCACCAAGAAGAATTACAACTAGGCTAGGTAGGCTGATCGCATGGTCTAGCATAGCATGTCAAATTACCATATTTCAGCTGCTTTGAATTAATGATAAAAATTAAAGTGCATTCATTGTTCATAGGAAATATATTCCTTAATCTGTTTTCTTATTCCATGTTATAACAATGGATTCAAATTCAGGCTAGCTTCAACATAAAAAGACTTGTGCCTTTAATTCTTAGTCACGACGATCCAAATAAGCACCAGCTTTAATTAATTAACCTACCAATTAGGATTAAAAGCATTAATGTATTCAACCTTAATAAAAAGACTCCCAATGGTAGGGATTCATATTCAATGTTAATGCAAAGTGTAAAGCTGCCAATAAATCCATTTGTTAATGATAAATCATCAAATTATTTTTCTATGCTTTGATATATAAATCTAGTTATATCTTTGTATTAATATTTATTGAACTCTTATGAATATAAGTCAATTTCACTGTGGCAAATGAAGAAAGACAATTCAGTCAGTGAAATATATCTCATCAATGTCACTGACTTCATTCCAAGGTTCATTTTGAAGCCTAGCCTTCCCATATTAAAATCAATGAACTTAAAGCTTGTTTCATTTTCTTAAATTGTTAGGTTTGTGCATAAGAAATCAGAAAGAAAAAGTCCTCCAGATGGTTTAGCTCATTTCCAGGAACATTTCCCAATTTGGGTAACAAAGAAATAGAGAGTTGCCAAGTGATATCATTATCTGTTTTGCAGTAATTCAGAAGTGTTCTTGAGACTTCTCAGACACTAGATCCTCATCTGTCTTAAAGGACATTTATTATGACCTTTGCTATTTCCAGACAGTCCAACCAGGATCTGACATTTCTAGATCTCTTTTACTTGCAGGGAATGTGTCTGTTTTGGCTGACAATGAAGCATGGTCTTATGGCTTCTGTTCTGGAGATTGAGCTGACATCCTTTCATCTCTCATTTAAATTTCAGTTGATATGTTTTGAGATAGTATGAAATACAAGGTCCAAATTAATTTTGAATTAATATGACTTCTAGCAATATTCAATTTCTATCCACCCAAGAATAATCTGTGATGGATGTGGTCATTAATTCTCTCTAGCTCTCATTAAGAACTGTAGAAAAATACAGAAAAAGAACATACATATCCTAGCATTTATTAACTCTGAATCAAATTTAATTCAAAACTATTGGATTTCCAATATGTTGGATGTAAATATTTTCCAAATCCACCCTTGTTACTGTCAGCCCAGACACTGACTTTCTCTTCCTCCTCTCCTGTCTTTAAACAATAACAATAACAAAATAACACATAAGTAGGCAAACAATAGAAAAAAACCCCACATTAGTCATCATTCTGAAAGTTCCATTTTTTATGGAGTGGGGTCTACACTGTGAAAGTACAATGTTGCTTTTTTTCATTCTGTCCTTATAATTCCTCCACTAGCAATTGACCATTCCAGTAATGTTTCAGCTTTTGATGCACCTTTTCTAGAGCTAGCCTCTAGACTGTATTCTAGAGGGGGGACTGTATTCTTTCTATGGAATAGCAAGGAGTTCAAAAATGAGCAATAAATATATATAAGTACTCCATGTCTTTTGGAATAACTTTCAAAATTTGAGATTTGGAATACTTTTGATAAGAGATGGAATCTGGAATTTTGGTAAGAAATTCAAAATTCTGAAGAAGTTTAGATGCAGCATATCTTAACATTATGTTTGGATATTGACATGCATTTTTATCTTAATTTTTCATGACCAAAAACATATAATTTCTTAATGAACTGGTTACATATTGGGATGATTTTTCTTTTTAATTCATCATGATCAAAACAAATAACTTTATAGGTCTGATATTAATTCAGATTAATAGTTTTAAATATATTGATATGGTTCAAATTATCCACAACACAAAGCTTATCACACATATTCTGCATTGCTTCCATCTCAATTTTCTGTGCAGTATTGGCAACAATTTGTAAGACCATCAAAATAGCAAAATTCAGTTAGCAGCTGATTCCCATAGCAAATTAAATTTCTGGATTCCTCATAATAAGCAGTGTTAATTTGTTGATTACTCAGCTATCCTGTCATACTATAAAGCAATAGTACTGAAGCAATACTAAACTTCAGACTGATGTGGCAAAGTAATAGGACTCTTTAACAAAGGCCTGGGAGTAAAGTACATTTTTCACTTATTTGAGAACAGGTCCACAATGGTACCCATCTCGGATAGGCCTGCGACTAGAACGCAGTAAGTAAAAGAATTCATATTCTTCCTACTGATCTATATAAGTATATTCCATGTTTCTGATGATCGTTTCCTCCTACCCTGTATGTACAAATGTGAAACATGTTGCTCTGCCCAATTTCCTTGCTGAAAGTAGAAATAGAAATTGGGAATTATGTGAAAAGATCTCATGAGAGAACATGTATTTATAACTAACTCTAGTCAAACTAAGAAAATAAAGCATCAGGCAGAAAGTATTAGAAAACATAAAATAAGCAAGAGTTGAGAAAACCCAAAGTCACTATGGAAAATTCACAGTTTAGCAGATTCTTTGCCATACATGTAATACAGAAAGACATGTCCAGGGAGACTAAAAAGAGGAGGAAAATTTGAGCTACAGTAGTACCTCAGAGTTATTACCCAGATAGAAACTGTTGCCAGGGTAACTTTAGTTGTATTGACTCTATAGAACTTCTGAATCTACTGATAACAAAGGCCAGTTATAATATAGACAACAAGTTCCCCGGTTGCTTTTATCTTCCTAGCACACTTGATATTTGATGCCCTGCCTGATGATATGTAACTAATAAAGAAATAGGCGGTTTTGCTTGACCAACTTTCCCCTACAATTCCACCATCTCTTTCGTTTAATAATCCTTCCTTCTGTTAAAGTTACAAAGAACTGCTGCACTAAGTTATTGCTCAGGCTACAGTTTTACCTGGAGAAACGCAGTAAGAAAATACTGTGGTTTATTAAAAGGCACCCAAGTAAATACTCTATCCCTGATGCAGAATTACTATAGCCTCATGCTTGCATTCAGTTGTGGTTTAGGGATTGCTGGTACATATATTATTTGACAATTTCATTTGGTACCATAGAAAAGCAATTTCATTTGTTAGCCTTTTTTTAGTAGAATTTCTTTCTGCTCGTATATGTTAACAGGAAATATTGTTCAAAATGTAATTAAGTGTTTCCTTTTTTTTTTTTTTTTTACAGATGGGCCGTATTTAAAAGATTCTGTTAATGTAAAGAGTCTTGCAGCATCTTCTATTATTACACTGTATTTCACAGACATGGGACAGCAAGTTAGCTGGATAACAGTAAGTATAACTTTTGTAGAAGTTCAAATATATACACATAGTTATATAATTCAATGCTAAAATAGCTCATAGCTCTTTTATTCTTCTATTGTTGTTGCTGTTTTCCTTTTGTTCAATAATGTCTGATTCTCAGAGACAGCCTGAAATGGTGCTATTGCTTTCTTGGCAAGGTTCTCTCCCCCACCCCCCAAGAAATGGCTTGCCATTGTCTCCTTCCAAGAGCTAAAGTCACCCAGCTGGCTTTGAACCTAAGGCTGGACTAGAATAATACAGTCGAGTCGAGTCGAGTCAAATAGGATAGGATAGGATAGGATAGGATAGGATAGGATAGGATAGAATAGAAAAGAATAGAATAGAATAGAATAGAATAGAATAGAATAGAATAGAATAGAGAATAGAATAGAATAGAATAGAATAGAATAGAATAGAATAGAATAATAGAATAGAATAGAATTTTTATTGGCCAAGTGTGATTGGACACACAAGGAATAGAGTAGAACAGAACAGAACAGAATTTAACTGATTCTTTAAATCTGTTTAGACAAGCAATTTATTTACTTGCTAGTTTGGTTATATACTTATATACTTACTAGTTTGGTTATATGCCTTCTCAATCCAGATCTTAGTTTAGAACCTAAAGGCAAGGAATATGGAAAAAACAATATCCTTAGAAAACTGAGGGGCAGATTCTCCTTAGGTAGTATCATTATTTAAGCTTAAATAGTCTCACTTCCCTACCACACTGGCTAGGGAATTCTGGGAGTTGAAGTTCACCCATGTTAAAATTGCCAAGGTTAATAATTTACCTGATTGTGAGAGAATTTTTAATAAAAGGAGCTGGCTTATCACAAGATCTTTCAAGAAGCAGATTTCAGCAATTAACTTCTAGTGCTAAAAATAATCAGATGTACAAATCAGAAATCCCAATTCAAACATGCCCTTCACAATGACTACTTAGGCAAGATATCTTTTCTTCAATGTCTGTGGAAATTCTCAGTCGTCCAGGTCATAGTTGTCTTAAAGGTGCTGTTTCAAAAGGCAACTGGATTGTTTTTTCTTTGAGGAAGACATTTCACTTCTCATCCAAGGAGCTCCTCCTTTTGAAAAAGAATCTTTGAGACATCTTTTCTTCAACCTCTCCATCTGCAATGTCCTGACCTTTCTTGTGGTTACTGAATAGTTTATAACAAAATAACATTTGATGGGCAAATGGTTATATAACTACTAAAGAAACCAGCTATAAAATAAATGACAAAATAGGAAAGGAAACAAAGAGAAGAATAATCTTCTTATAAATGTGTATATTACATACATATTAAGTAAAATAAAAGGCAAAATCCCAAACATGTCAAAGTGTTTTCAAAATGATAATTTCTATAATTTCCAAACTGAAAGGTGAACAGACTTGCTTGATGATTCTCAAAAAATCCACAGGTGAGATTAGGCATGGACTTTGATTTCTTAAATTAAGAATGCAGCATTGTGGTAAATGGCACATAACTGTCTGAATAAATGGATAGAATAGAATAGAATAGAATAGAATAGAATAGAATAGAATAGAATTTTTATTGGCCAAGTGTGATTGGACACACAAGGAATAGAGTAGAACAGAACAGAACAGAATTTAACTGATTCTTTAAATCTGTTTAGACAAGCAATTTATTTACTTGCTAGTTTGGTTATATACTTATATACTTACTAGTTTGGTTATATGCCTTCTCAATCCAGATCTTAGTTTAGAACCTAAAGGCAAGGAATATGGAAAAAACAATATCCTTAGAAAACTGAGGGGCAGATTCTCCTTAGGTAGTATCATTATTTAAGCTTAAATAGTCTCACTTCCCTACCACACTGGCTAGGGAATTCTGGGAGTTGAAGTTCACCCATGTTAAAATTGCCAAGGTTAATAATTTACCTGATTGTGAGAGAATTTTTAATAAAAGGAGCTGGCTTATCACAAGATCTTTCAAGAAGCAGATTTCAGCAATTAACTTCTAGTGCTAAAAATAATCAGATGTACAAATCAGAAATCCCAATTCAAACATGCCCTTCACAATGACTACTTAGGCAAGATATCTTTTCTTCAATGTCTGTGGAAATTCTCAGTCGTCCAGGTCATAGTTGTCTTAAAGGTGCTGTTTCAAAAGGCAACTGGATTGTTTTTTCTTTGAGGAAGACATTTCACTTCTCATCCAAGGAGCTCCTCCTTTTGAAAAAGAATCTTTGAGACATCTTTTCTTCAACCTCTCCATCTGCAATGTCCTGACCTTTCTTGTGGTTACTGAATAGTTTATAACAAAATAACATTTGATGGGCAAATGGTTATATAACTACTAAAGAAACCAGCTATAAAATAAATGACAAAATAGGAAAGGAAACAAAGAGAAGAATAATCTTCTTATAAATGTGTATATTACATACATATTAAGTAAAATAAAAGGCAAAATCCCAAACATGTCAAAGTGTTTTCAAAATGATAATTTCTATAATTTCCAAACTGAAAGGTGAACAGACTTGCTTGATGATTCTCAAAAAATCCACAGGTGAGATTAGGCATGGACTTTGATTTCTTAAATTAAGAATGCAGCATTGTGGTAAATGGCACATAACTGTCTGAATAAATGGATTCAAATTTAGGCTACTGACATGTGAAAATGCAGTTCATTGGAGCATTGAATTAATCTTTTTAATGTCCATGAAAATTATTAATTTGTGAAAAGTTCTATTGGCTTGCAAACATGTGTGTGTGTGTGTGTGTGTGTGTGTGTGTATCCTTTCTCATCCTCACAAAAGAATGCCACCGTGGCCCCAGTTAGCACCTTGAAGTCCTCCCCTTATTTTGAACTTGAATTTTATCTAGCTCAACCTCTGATATAATATTTATATATAGATTTTATGTTTCATATTTTACCTGTAGACTGATCAAAGTCCCTTTGTAAGGATGAGGGTGGTTTTCTAAGTTTGAGATATAAATATTATCTATATGTATATGTATAAATATGCACATAACTATGTGTATATGCATATAATATCATATGTCAAGATGAGGAAGACATTAAAAAATAACCCTCTTTCTTTACAGAAGCATTCCAGCTAGGTCACCAACAAGTGGCTTATATTTTTTATAGGTTATCAAGTTTAAAACCAAATTATCATTAACAGAACCTCTGATGAACTAGAGAATATGATAAATGAAGAATAGACTCTTCTAGATGAAATACCTTTTTTTTTTTTTACTAAGATCAATTAAAATGACACAAAAGTGGGACTCAAGCTTCAGATTTTACAGAATTTTCTTAGGAAGAATGTTTTGAGAAGTTGAGCGTGGACAAAAAAGAAGACAGTGTAAACATTAAACCAGATGTCACAGCCAAAATATCTTTTGCTAAGCTCTCAGTAGTTCAATGCATTTGTTAAAGAAAGGTGCATTAGGTGTCTAGTTTCACCCAGCATACAAAGCTTTCCCCAGTTCTGAAAATTCAAAAGCCATTGATCTCCTATTTGTTTTTTTACTGCTAACTAAAAATGCTGAGTCATTACCGTCACTGTATGATGAATTTGAATGAATCAGCCATATGAACATTGTGGTCTGAACTGAATATTAACTCTGGTATTCATGGAATCAAGCATTGCATTCCTGCCCCTCTTCTATCTTTCAGTCATGTATAAATAGATGATATATAGAAGCATACTTAACATTCAGTACATTTTGTATCAGCTGGATAGGACCTCTTTTGTGAAAATTCAACCTGCTTCAATACTTTCAGCTTAGGAAACCTAGCCAGGAGTATTAAATAATACAGGATGCAGATATTTTTCTTTCTGAAAACATAAGAGCAATAATTATGACAAGGATCTAGGTGTTCAAGTGGACCACCATTTAAGTATAAACCAGTAGTGTTCTGCCAAAAAGGCCAATAGAGTCTTAAATTGAGTCAATAGATGATTAGCATTAAGATCATGAGTGATAGTGATAGTACTGATTTTTACTGCAACAGTGAGGCTGCACTTGGAATGCTGTTTTTCAGTTCTGGTCACAATGATACAGAAAAAGGTGCTGAGAGCATAGAAAGTGTGCAGAGAAGCTAAGTATGTCTAGCATATCAAATAGAAGGATTAGAGTTGATATGAAAACTGTCTTCCATTACATGAGAGTCTGCCCCAGAGAAGAGGGGGTAGACTTATTCTCCATAGCACCTGAGGACAGGACAAGAAGTAATGGATTACTTCTCATTGATTGATCTCTCTTTGATTGCTCTCTCATTAAAGAGAAGTCCAACTTAGAAGTAATGAGAAATTTCCTGACAGTGAGAAGAATTAATCAATGGAATATCTTGCCTCCCGGAGTTGTGGTTTCTGTAGGTTTTCAAGAATAGATTGGACAACATTTTGTCCAGTCTATTAGACAAAGGCCTCCTGTCTTGTGCAGCAGGTTTAACTAGAAGGCCTCCAAGCTCATTTCCAGCCTTCTGATTATATTATTCTTTCCTATTTTCATCTTTATTATCTTTACTTTAAAGGGAGTATGAGGGAAAATGTTTTGAAATTTGACTATGGCAAAGGCTTCAAAGTATTCAGTTGAAAATGGAGAATTAAGATCTGTAAATAGTCCAGCATCTTTATTAATTTCACTGTGTTATATAAAAAGAATTATATAATTCTTTTATATACAGTTCTTTTTATATAAAATATAAAAAAAGAAAAAGCCTTTGCATGTATTTTTATGCTTCATAAATGATTACTGAAACTTGATGTAGTCTTTACTTTCAAATTGTTTCAAATCTAATTTTGGTGCTCCAAAAATTCAAATCACATTTTGAATTGAATCTTGTCTGCATATTAGTTCAAATCTGAACCAGATATTAGGTATTTTTCATTCTTATTAATTTATCAACAAAAGAACATTAAGCAAAGATTTCATTGTCCTCTCCGTCCCTCATTTCTTTCTCCCTTTCTTCTGTCCCTCCCTGCTATCCTATATCTCTCCCTTCCTTTTCTTGCCCCCTTCCTTGCTTTTTCTCTCCTTTTTTCCCTCTTTCCTTTCTTCTCCAGATTTCTACAATTAGCTACATGGGTGGACATCTGGTTATACACCACTTTCTGACATTTGCTTGTGGCTTTCTGATATGGCAGATCTTTTGTGGAACATTACTGTTCAATGGAAGAGCAGTTGAAATCCTTTCCTCTAAAGCCATATTTTTAGTTGTCAAATTTTTATTCTTAGCAACAATAACTTGTTATATGATTGTAACTCTCATTGATTCAAACAGGATATTTGAAGTGAATATCAATTTCTATTGATACTATTACAATTGCATTTTTTGTAAAAACAACAACGGTGTTTTGATTGTACTTACTAAACTCTTGTGTCAGTAAACTTTGACTGGGTGAGAGCCTAGCTACAGTGAAAGACCAAATTTAGATTGGCCTACTTTGTGATGTTTCAAGGACTAGAGCAAGGAGGTGTGATAAGTCTGAACTATTGGCTTTTGCTGAAAGAGCTATAAAACATTTCTCAGAAATATAGCCCTTATCTTACTGTTCTCATTGTATTAACCAATCTTTCTCTGTTCCTTTTTGTTTTTTTCAGGTTTTTCTAACTGAATATACAGGTCCTCTTCTAATCTATCTACTGTTTTATTTTCGCTTCTCAACTGTTTACGATGCAAAAGAAAGTGCACGATGTTTACGGCATCCTGTGGTTCAGTAAGTAAGAGTGCCTACATTTAAGATTTATTTATATAGACACATAAATGTGTGCTTGACGCACATACACACACAGAGAGAAAGAGAGAGACAGAGAATAACAACTGGATATCAGATTTTGTTACACTTTGGACTGTATTTTCAGTCCTCCTTGGAAACAGTTAAAATTCATTTTGTGTAGTGAACTATGAATGCAAACTCAATACCCTTACTAATATTGGCAGTTATTGGCTGTCTATGGGGGTCACCATCTTTTCACCATTTTATTTCTCAGTCCTCAAGGTAGTTTTCTATTCATATTCTTCTCTTACATTTGAAGGTAGCCTAATGTTATTTGATCTTCCATGTATATGCAAAAAATCCTATTTATTCAGAAAATATTTGTACATTACAGGAAATTCTATCTATCGCCTCCCTCTTCCCTCTCCCTCCCCCCCCTTCTCATCTACCTATTTTAAATCTTAAAGGGGAAAACAATCTAGGAAATTTGGGGAACTCTAAAGAATATGATTATAAATGCCCAGTTCACCACAATGCCACTGGAAAAGAAAAATAAGAAATTCAAGAAGAAACCAACATGGTTATACAAAGAACTCTCTGACAAACTGAAAGCCAAAAAAAGATAAGTACAATAAATGGAAAGAGGGACATATAACTGAGGCAGAATATCAACAAATAGCCCAAACTTATAAAGATGAAGTCAGGAAAACTAAGGCTCAGGATGAAGTAAGATTTCCAACAAATATCAAAAACCATTTTTAAAAAGTTTCCTTCAATATATATAAGAAAAACAAAAAAGTCAAGTAAACAGTCGGTCTACTAATGGGAGATGATGGCAAAGAAGTAATAGGCAGTAGAGAAAAAAACAGAGCTGTTTAGCTCATTTTTTGCATCAGTCTTCACACAAAAAGAAAACAGGGCAATCTACCAAAAACATAACTATAAAAGATAGACTAGAAATAAAAATTAAAATAAGCAAGAAAATGGTAAGAAAACATCTGTCTGATCTAGAGGAGTTCAAATCACTGGATGGATTATAATGATGGATTACATCCCAGAGTTCTGAAGGAGCTGGCAAATATTATCTCAGAACCATTATACCATATCTTTCAAAGATCTTGAAGAACTGGGGAACTATTTGAAGACTAGAAAAGAGCTGATGTGGTCCCCATTTTCAAAAAAAGAGGGGAAAAAACCAATCTAGGAAACTATAGACCAGTAATGGCTAATCTTTTCTGGACCAAAGCGCATGCATGCATGTGAATGTGCGTGCACCTGAACCCCCAACATGTAATGCATAAGTGGCCCCTGTGCATGCACCCAGACCCCCACACATGCACTGGTGGCCCCACCCCCACACATGCCGCACCCCCTACATGTGCCCCACCCCCGTGCATGCTTGAGCAGCCCCCCACTTGTGCCTTGCCCCCTGCGCATGTGCAGCAGAGACCCAAAGACCAGCTGACTGGCGGAAGGCATGCACGCAAGCAAAGCGGAGCTAAACTGGGGCGAAGGCTCGTGTGCTATCAGAGAGGGACCTCTGGCATGCATGCCATAGGTTCGCCATTACGGCTATAGACCAATCAGCCTGACATCAATACTTGAGAAGATATTGGAAAAAAATAGGCAAGAAAACCCAAATGTACAGGCACAGAAAGGTGCCTAGGTGAAAGCTGGCTCAACAGCAGTAACTGCAAGAGGGATCTTGGAGTGCTAGTGAACAATAACTTAAATATGAGCCAGCAATATACTACATCTGTCAAAAAAGCCAACACAATCTTAGGCTTTTGTTTTAAGAGAATGATAGAATCAAAATCACAAGAAGTGATACTGCCACTTTATAATGCTGTGGTAAGACCACATTTGGATATTGCATCAAATTGTGGTCAATATAAAAAAGATGTTGAGACTTTTGAAAGAGTTCATAAAAGAGCAACAAAGATGATTGGGGGGCTGAAGGCTAAAACATATGAAGAATGTTTGCAAGAATTGGGTATGTCTAGTTTAGTGAAAAGAAGAACTAGGGACAACATGATAGCAGTGTTCCAATATGTGAGGGGCTGCCACAAAGAAGAGGGAGCCAAGCTATTTTCCAAAGCACTAGAAGGCAAGACAAGAAGCAACCTCGAACTAAGGAGAAGCTTCCTGACAATGAGAACGATCAACCAGTGGAACAATTTGCCTTTTTGTTGTGGATGCTTTAACACTTTTGAGAAGCCAGTCATTTATCAAAAATAGTGTTGGGTCTCCAGCTTGACCAGGAGGTTGAACTAGAAGGCCTCCAAGATCCCTTCCCACTCTGTTATTTTGTTATTCTCTTATTTTGTTATTTCATTGAAAAAGTATATCCCAAAATTGAAATATAAACTGGGTTCAGCTGCATAGTGATTATACTGAACCCAGAATGAATGAACCTTTATTATTTTAATAACATCAGCTGTTACTATTGTGTGTGTATATAATTTTATTCAGAACAAAATTAAAATACAAAATACAAAACTAACTGAGGAAGTCATCAAAACACAAAGCAATCAGAACATTAAAGAGGTGTATCAAACCACCACAACAACAACACATTATACATATATTATCCCCTCAAGTTGAATACTGATTAATATATTACTACAACATTTGTTCCCTTTGAAACAAGCCCTCCCAAAAATTTTAAACTATTAAATCTATTAACAATTTGTTGACCTGCCTTGGTATATTATGTTAGTGACACAGTAGTTAACAGAAAAAACAATAAGAGTAAAACAGAACAAAATTAAAAGTTTTTAAACTTCCTGCTTGACAGCAAGGTGGATACAGCCAGTGACTTTTCAGTTGCTTCCAGAGGGAATTGGAATTTTTAAGACGCTCCCTTCCCCACTGGGTCCCCCATTGTTCAGAAGTCATCTTGAGTCACTCCTAAGTGCTCCCATTCAAAACCAGGGAACAGCATGCCAAAGAACCAGCTTTAGCAGTGAAATCGGCAGATTATCAGTAAGAGAAAAAAAAGAAACTCTTACTATGCAGCAGCGGTGGGATTTTGCCTGTTCTAGACGGTTCAGCCGAACCGTTTGTTAAATTGCTGGCTTGCCCCACCCCTTGCCAATAAATAGTGGGGGCGGGGCGAGGGGCGGGCAAGCCAGTAATTTAACAAACGGTTTGGTGTTTTTTTTGTAATTTATTGGCCTCGCAGCACATCGAACCGTTTGTTAAATTGCTGGCTCGCCCACCCCTCGCCCTGCCCTGCCTCCCACCCGCACGGCGTCAGCCTACCCTAGCCCAGAGGTGGGCAATTGTGGCTCTTTTACAGCCTGTGGACTTCAACTCCCGCCTAGCCTATTCTGGGGAATTCTGGAAAATTCTGGGAATTGAAGTCCACAACTCTTAAAGCTGCCAAGTTTGAAGAGCTCTGTTTTACAGTATATATAATAAGCAGCCCCGGCTATTTCCCAAGAAATGTCTCCGTTTCCTTCCTTCCTTCCCATTCCAGAAACTGAGAGGGAATTAATTTCCTGCTGGCTCTGACCAATTTAAAGCAGCCGCTTCTGAGTTGGCCCCTTTTGCGTCGGCAGAGAGTTATTGTTGTTTTTCCCCTTTCCATGCCGTCTTCCCCGTTAAGGCAGGAACGCTGTTACTAAGGCGGTTGGAGGAGTGGGCAAACTGAATCTCTCTGGCGGCAACAATCGGGGCAGTCCTTGGGTTTCACTGCGGCTCTCTTGGGGCACGATGGCATTCCCTTGCCTGGTAAGGGGCAACGCTGAGGGATGCTGAAGCGATGTCGGAGTTGGCTCCACCACAGAGGCAGGGAGAAAGTGCGGCTGGATTGATTGATCGAAGCGAGGCAGCAAATTTGCGGAGAGAGCCAGGCCCAATGATTTGCGAGAAGCCAGAACTCGCGCTTGGGCCGCTGATTTGAGCCAAGTTAGGCTGGCTCAGCCCCACCAATCGTGAGTTGCTGCCTCGGCGCAGAAAGAGGGGGTGATCCTGAAGTTGCACCATATCAAGGTAGATCCCAATCTAGATCACGCTTTGAGTGTTGCGACTGAAGTTCCTCCAAAACTAGGGGAGATTCAGCCTTAGGAAGAGAGGAAAAGGCTCTGAGCGGAAAGCTGGGGTGGGGGGGGTGGGCTTTGCTTTACCATCTTCTAAGGCTCTGGAGGATTTAAGTAGCTTAACTGTGCTTGCTTGCCAATATCAGAATTACAGAGTTGGAAGGTACCTTTGGAGGTCTTCTAGTCCAGAGATCTCCAATCTTGGCAACTTTCTCTGCCTGAGCCTGATGCTTCCTGAGAGGCAGGGGGTCTCTCCGAATGGGACCCCCTCCCCAAAAGGCTGGCCCCAAAGCCCTAGTTAAGAGGTCTTCAAACTTGGCAGCTTTAAGACTTGTGGACTTCAACTCCCAGAATTCTCTAGCTAGCATAGCTGGCTGGGGAATTCTGGGAGTTGAAGTCTGCCAGGCTTAAAGTTGCCAAGGTTGGAGATCTCTGGACTAGAAGATAAATGATGGCATAAATGATGACCGGTCAAAAGTGCGAGGATCTGTCAGAAATCACTTTTTTCAGCCCTCTGGGTAGTCCCTATGTGCATATGGACTACTCAGACGGCTGAAAAAGTTATTTTTGACCGGTCCTCACACTTTTGACCAGTCCTTGAACTTACGACTGTCCTCACATTTTACCTTTTGTGCCCTATCTTGTCACCGTGGTGAAGAGAAGTAGTGGTGAAATGACTGACACGGTTGTTAAGAATGCCGCAACGGACATAAATGTGAGGATGGTCATGAGTGCAAGAACCGGTCAAAAGTGCGAGGATCTGTCAGAAATGACTTTTTTCAGCCCTCTGAGTAGTCCCTATGCACATAGCCACGCCCACCAGGCCACATGACCAGCTAGCCATGCCTACCCAGTCACATGACCAGCTAGCCACACCCACCCAGTCACATGACCACCAAGTCACACCCCCAACTAAGCCACGCCCACAGAACCGGTTGTAAAAAAAATTGAATCGCACCACTGTGCAGCAGCCATCTTGAAAGGGGTCAGCTGTGACTATTGTTTTGAACTTTCTTAGAGTGGTCTTAACCAAAGAGGTAACTAAATTCATAAATTAATAAAAATAAATTCTGAATAATTATCTATATGAATTTTGAAACAATATACTTGGGAAATGTGTTGTATGTATGTACACATTGTGAATATGATGAAAGATAGGATTAATATGGTTGTCTTTTTCCATATTCTACTCTCTTAAAAAACTGTTCTGTTGCTCTGTATTTTTAAAGTCTCATAATTATAACAAACTAGACAACAATTAACTGAAATATATTGGGTTTTTAAATGATAAAACTGCATGTCTTATTGTTAATTCAAATCATGCATGTGTATTTTAACTGTTGTAGAACCACATACTGTAGGTCAAATAGTTCTAATGCATGTCTTCTCTGCAACTTCTATCTCAGTCTATAAATACAAATGAATATAACAAAAACCAGATGAAATAAAATACTTTCAGCAGATTTTGGTAGTTATAATCAAATTAAATAAGTTGGCTAAGTTGAATTTAATTGATAAATTGGATAAGTTGAATTTTTAAATTGGCTAAAGTTTCTCCATTTAATAACAGCCTTTCAAAATTATTTATGTTTTAGTATATTCAAAGTATTTCATCTGCATGATCTTTTTAATGAAAAAAAAATGTCAGCATTATAATAATCTACATTTTTCAAAACCAGAGTGATTTGCTATAGGCTACTAAGCAAATGGATCATAGAGAGAGCAAGTTGTTTATATTCTTTGCTATGATAGATTAGATTGAGCTACAATAAATTAGATTTGAGCCTACAGTAGCATCAGATTTTTTTAAAAAAATATGTTTATTTCTTATTCTTGATTATTTCTGCAGTTTGGCCTGCATCTGTCACTGTTTACATTATATCAGGCTTCTTCTGGAAACTCTCTTTGTGCACAAGATTTCAGAAGGACATACACCACTGAAAAATATGATCAAGGTGATTAACATTCACAAAATATACTATAGAAATGAATAAGCATTAAAAAGGTACGATTAGTCTGCTGTTGTATTTCTGTCCTGCTTTCGAAGTTATTCATATGGTGCATTATATTCTCATCACAACAACCCCTCCAACTTAGGTTAGACTAAGAGAGAATGGTAGGTGGAAGTCAGCAAATTACCCTGAGAACTTAAATGCAAGCAGTGTATGGGTAGTCCTTGACTTACAACAGTTCATTTAGTGACTGTTCAAAGTTACAACGGCACTGAAAAAAGTGACATGATCATTTTTCACAGTTATAACCTTTCCAGCATCCTCATGATCATGTGAACAAAATTTAGATGTTTGGTAACTGGTTCATATTTATGACTTTTGCTATGTCCAGGGATCACAAGATCCTCTTTTACATCCTTTTGACAAGCAGTGGGGAAGCCAGATTCACTTAACAACTGGGTTACTAACTTATCAACTGCAGTGATTCACTTAACAACTGAGGCAAGAAAGGTCATAAAATGTCCCAAAATTCACTTAACAAATATCTCACTTAATAACAGAAAACTTGTCCTCAATTGTGGTCGTAAGTTGAGGAGTACTGTATTTGTGCTTTATATATATAAAATCATGGATGTCTAAACGGATAGGCAGACAGGCAGAAATTCATAGGTTCAAATGTATAATACTTTTGTAGTCAGGGTTTTTTCCTATGTAGATCAAGTTGTTAAATGGCCATAGTGGGATGATATCTCAAATCATCACTTTCAGGCTTGTCAGACATTTTGTGTTGTTTGTTCTGAGACTTATGGGAGACTGGGATAGCACTATTTCTGTCTTTTTGGACTTCATCGGCCAGCCACACCCATATTTTATGACTCCTCCCTGTAAAGGTCAATATATATATATTCTTTGTTTTCTTTTTGTCTTATTGTTTTTGTTTCTCTTACTTGTTTTGCTTTTTCTCCGTTTTCTTTCTTCTTTAGCTAGTATCTATTGTTTAATGTTTTAATAAAAAATATTTTTAAAAAAGAGAATTCTGGTGCACATATCTTAAAGTTGTCAAATTTGAGAAACACAATCTTAAAGTCTTATTTTGTATAAATGGGACCTTTATGCAAAATTATGTATAAAATTATGCATAAAAAGTGGTTAAAAGACAGAATTTGAAAGGTTTTTATTGCATATTTGAAAATGCCAACTTAACTTTTTGCCACCACCTTCAAATCTGGTGCTGGTATTCTGGGATGGCTCCACCTTTTCATTCTGATTGGTTGGGAGTCCCAGTATGTGTTTATTGGCTTGGCTTCGGGTGTATGGTCGGTTTTTTCTCCACTAGGTGGCAGGGCTTTATCTTTGTGGCTGGTTTGAATATGATTTGGTTGGGATTTTTTTGTGCAATGTTTGGTCCATGTTCCACATATGGTGTCAAGATTCGTCTATCTATGAGAGCAGGTTTCCAAATAGTAGGCAGACGTGAAGTGTCATCCCGTTTATTCATGCAATATGGTCTTTTTTTCCATTTCTATTGCTTCTCTGATTATCCTGCCATTGAGATGTTCTATTTTTGCAACTGTTTTTGTTTTATTAAAATTAATGTTGTGTCCTGTTGTATTTATATGTTGAACTAATGATGATGTGTGTTCTTGCTTTTGTATTGAGTTTTTGTGTTCCTCGATGCGCACACTCATTCTTCTGTTGGTCTGTCCAATGTATGTTGATGGGCAGGAAGCACATGGGATTTCATATATGCCTTGATCTTCTAATTCTATTTTGTCTTTGGGGTTTCTCAGAATGGACGATATCTTTCTATCTGTGCAAAATATGGTTTTGATGTTGTGTTTTTGTAGTACTTTGCTAATTTTATCTGTTGTTCCCCTTATATAGGGCAAGATGGCTTTCCCATTGTTTTGTTCCTCTTGTTGTTTTTTATTCTGTCTTGGTGTTGTATGTTTGATCATATTGATGACTTTATTTCTACAGAACCCATTTGATGTCAGTACATTAGTTAGTGTATATAATTCAGTTTGTAAATGTGCTTCATCAGCCAGACGTTTAGTTCTTGTGGTTAATGTTTTGGCAACAGAGTTTATTTGTGCTGGATGGTGGTGTGATTTGGCGTTGAGATAGCGGTTCGTATGTGTCTTCTTTTGATAGATGGTATGTCCTAAGGTGCCATCAGATTTTTTATAAATTAATACATCGAGGAAAGGTAACTGGTTTTCTGATTCTATCTCCATGGTGAACTTTATTTTGGGATGGAGGCTGTTCAAATGTACTAAGAAGTTTTCCAATTTATCTCTTCCATGTGGCCAGATCACAAAGGTGTCATCAACGTATCTGAGCCATAATTTTGGTTTGTTAACAGTTTTTTCTAAGGCATTGGATTCGAATTCTTCCATGAAAAGATTAGCGATATATATATATATATATATATATATATATATATATATATATATATATGCACATACACACACAAACATAAAAACATATGTATCCAGATTTTCTTTACCATAGCTCAGCATTCAAAAGACTTGCTTTGTTTTTAATAATTCTGACCAGAACAATCCATGAAGATTACTGAAGAGCAATAATACTATAGGTTCAGGCATTAAGAACAAATGCTTAACAAAACTTAACTGGCAATAGGACACTCAGTTTGTTTGTTTCTTTGTTTGTTTGTTTGGTTGTTTGTTTTAATAGGGCTTTTGACACCCCACCCCCAAGTGGTGTTCTTTTTTATACAAAGTCAGCTTATTGCCCTCACAATCTGGGTCCTCATTTTACCTACCTCGGAAGGATGGAAGGCTGAGTCAACCTTGAGCCTGGTGAGATTTGAACTCACAGTAATTGCAGCAGCTGGCAGCTAAGTGCTACTTAACAGCACTTTAGTCCACTGCACCACTAAGGCTCCTTGGTGTTTCTATTTCTCTGCAATCATTAGTATTCTATTCTGTCCTGTCCTGTCCTGTCCTGTCCTGTCCTTCCTGTCATGTCCTATCCTGTCCTGTCTAGTCCTGTCCTATCCTATCCTATCCTATCCTATCCCATCCCATCCCATCCCATCCCACCCCACCCACCCCATCCTATCCTATTTCCTTTTAGAATGCAAACCATAAAGACTGCAACATTTTTAAAGAAAAGAATCTCATTCATTCATTCATTCATTCCTCTATTTATTTATCTATTACTACAAACTACTATTTTTTAAATAAACTTTAACACTAATTACTGATTCATATTTCATTTTTTCTTTTCATCTGAGATTTTATTTTTTTCTTTCAATCTTTTATTCAACTGTTATTCTTTTATACATGCATTGCAAACTATATTTAGAGGGCAACCTCATTTGCATTTGAAGTTAGCAACAAGAGGAATCAAAAGACTAACATTTAAGAATTATAATTTTTGACATTATTAAAAAATATTTTTTTATTTTTGGAAGATGAAAATGCTTGAAATGTTTAATTTTTAGATAAACTTTTAGAATATTTAACATTTAAAAAAATATTTTAAAGTTTTGAAAATGTTGGAAGGCTAGCATCTTCATGGTGTACAGTGACTGGTTTCAGCGATGCTAGTGGGCTGTTTGATTTTTGAATCTCAGCCGTTGACTGATTGGACATTTTGGCTGCCTGTGCCTTGTTGAGTGCCATCTGCAGGGTGAGATCTGTTTTTGCAAGGAGGCCCCGCTGTAGTTTGGTGTCCCTCACACTGCAAACCACTCTGTCCAAGAGAGCATCATCTAGGTCCCTAAACTCACAATAGAGGGCTGCCTTCCGAAGGGTGGCAACGTATTTGTTGATAGATTCACCTTCAGCCTGATTCCGATTATGAAAGACATGCCAATGTGCAATTCGCGAAGGTTTGGGCATAATGACTCCGTAGCTTGCTCTGCAGCATGTCCCATGGCACAGACTGAACAGCCAATAGACCGAGGAGAGCCCTGGCCATCTCAAAGATCTCTGGGCCACAGAAGTTTAGGAAAAATACCTTCTTCCTGTTGTCAGTGATCTTAGCAAAGTCATTTGCTTCAAGGAAGCAGTTGAAAGGAGCAAGGTAGGAATCCCATGTCTCAGAGGCTGAGTTGTATGGAGCAAAGGATAGTAATGCAGCCATTTTACAAGGGACCGGTATGAGCCCCAGGCAATTTGGGTTTAGGCATCTGTGGCAGCAACTATAAATCAGATCCGGTAATTCAGCTCTGAGTCAGTCATCTTGCAGTAATCAGCTCTTTACTGCCTCCTTTCTATTTATCCTACCTTCGTCACCAGTGTTAAGTTCTGGGGGAACAATGGAGGTGAGGCCAGAGTTATCCCTAACAGCTCAGCTCAGTTCCTCAGTAATAGCTATATGTTGGTAGCTGATGAAAAATCATAGTTCTTTTCATTTGCTAAATATCATCAATATTATTAATTTTAAAAACCCTTTCTAAAAACATTTTGCTATCAGTAATTCCTGGCAGGTTTTATATAGTTTCTATTTCCCCAAGGAAGGTGTTGGAGACAGTTTTGGTAAAGATAAAATATTCCTTTTCCTTATCATCACCTCAATGTGAGCACTTTTGTCCTACTTGAGTAGAGTAGGTGATGAAGTGATAAGAGCCTGATGATATAAGATACAAGAATGTAGGCCAAATGAACTGGATGGCTAAAATACATATCCAGGAGAAGTCCAGAGACTTATCTCCTTAATGTTCTCTAAAATATTTTAATTTTACTCCTATGCATTGTTTATTCCCCAACTGTTCTTCCTGATATCCATTGTATTTCACTTCTGTGATATCACTATATTACAGTGACCTTTAGCTCAGACTTGGAAACAATATAAAGACAGAGAAGAAAAAAAAACAATCTTCCTGATATTTTTCTGACTTATGCATAGTAAACTGACTCAGCCAACTGCAATTGCATCTGAGCAACTCTAATTGGGGGGGGGGGGGACTTGTTTGCCTCAATAATATCATATCAACATATTAGAGCAGGCATCCTCAAACTATGGCCCGC